TTTTTTTTTTCTCTCTAACCTTCATGTTTTTGTGCATGCATGTGTGTTGGTGTGTGAACGTGCCCTCCCTGCCTCCATACGGCGCAGACTGTCAGACGGAAAAATGGATAAGGAACCACTTAATGCAGCCCGCTCATTAATGGAAGAGTATACACGCTGGAGCATTTTCACACTGTGAAGTAACTGTTAGCGAAATGTTATGCATTTTGCAGGCAGATTTTGTTGTGCGGTGGAGTTCTCACAGCATCCATGCAGGTCAAGTGTAGGCCGGTAGATGAAGTCACATCATTCTAAAATATTTCGAGTGCAGCTCGGAGTAGCAGCTTCTTTATGTGCTTATTATTTTGCCAACTGTGTTTTCACCTTCAGTTCACTTCCCTCCATCTCAACCAAAGAAAAAAAAACAAAAAACAAAGATGTATTGTTTCCCTTTTGGTTCTGTTCCATTCACAATGACTTATTACAAACAAACCGATGGCTGTAAACATAAAGTCCCATGGGCTGACAGGTCACTCATTCATTGAGCAGTGACCTGTTCTGCATCACGAGCGCTACATGGGCCCAAAGGGCGCTTGGTATCAAAATAGAGTTTTTTTTTTTTTTTTGTAAGTGACCGACAGAAATTGACACTTTAGCTCTGGTATTTGAAATCTGTACCATTTCCCCCCTAAAAGCTTAGACAAAGAATAACAGTTGATCGTGAGCAGCAGCCTGCAACTTGACTCCATCCGTCTTAAATAATGATGGAAGCCAGACAGAAATGAGCCATCTTGTTCTGCAGAATGATTGAGGGGAAATTGTTGCCGTGATCAGCGCGAGTACGGTTGTTTTCTTTAGTTGTGGGCTACGTAGACACACATAAAACCTTTTCAGGGGCTTTTGATGCATTTGTGCTTTGTGGGATTGTGATAAGTCACTGCGAGTATAGCTGAGTTTTTACAGGTATTTGCCACGTTTCATTGCAGTGCATCCACTAAGTTACTGAGATATTTCTCTGAGGTAGAAAAAGTGTGAAGGGAATGACCAAAACCAGGAGGCTTTATCCTCTAGAGACCAGAACTGTTGGAACATGCCTTCGTAGGAGTGTTTATACCGATCCGTGCAATAGTTGTTGATATATTTCAACAACCTGTCTGACCAAACAGCATTGCCGTCCTTACACTCTTGCTGCTAGCATGGCTAAAACGCTCGCTTTAAGAAATCGGTTGCAAAGGCGCGGGAGTACCGATGTCTCCGCCCTGGCCTGGAGCGCTGTAATGTTTTATTGAGAATCCTTGATAATACATGATCTTTGATAACAGTTTTGCAAGCGTGAATGCACTTCAAACTCCGAACTCGCCTTGAATTGTGACTTAACTGAACGAACTCAGCCTTCATATGCGCGGCACACGGTTTAATACCTGTGTAATGGATTTGTAGCCGGCGTCCTCATGGATGCGTTGTCAGTGGTATGTGAAGTACAACAGCCCTTTTGATGGCTTTTTTGCAGTCTGAAGCGAGCATTGCATGCCACTGCACTGATCCATTTCTCTCTTTTTCTTCACTAGAAAAATGTACAATGCCTCTGTGGTTGCTCTCACTCCCACCACCTACACGTGGCGTATGCAACATAGTGCAACTCACAGAGCCCGTTTCCCTTGGGCGTATTGAAAGTCATTCTGGGAAATGTAGGAACTCAAAAAAGTACTGTGGATGTTGACAGCTGAGGGTGGATACACCAAAATAATAAATTATGCATCGAACATCACATATTGATGGTTGGCAGTGAAAGATTATCTGAACGTGGAGATTTTTTTTTCTCTGCAGACTGGGTTCCCTGAGGTAATCAGAGGTTTTTTTTTTTTTTTAGGTGCTACTTAAAGGGAGGAGCCTCTGGCACTGCGTTTGAGAGTCTTCTTTTATGCCTCTTTACATGTCTTGATATTATGTGAAAGCTACCTGAACCCAGAGAATACAAACATTACTGCCTTAGTACAATAAAAAAAAAAAAACATATTTCCTTTCTTCAAGGAAGGTTGTCAAAATGTGGCATGTCCTTGACATTCCTTCTTCATCACAATCCTCTCTTCCTTAGTTGCTTCTTCAGGTGGAATACCAAAGTAAACAGTATATAGTTTTCTTAACTTTAGTTCTCTGAATGCAAGTGGAGCCCTCAGACCAGGCTTATTCTCCCCATTCTTTGCATTTTTCACATCTGAAAATGCTTGAATGAGCTTATTCACCGCTGTGGGTCTGCACTAGCGTTGGATAGCACTGATGCAACTCCTCATCAAAAACATGCCAGAGGAGGTTAAGTTGTTACCAGGCATATACTGCATTTTCAAGAAGAGCCCACAGTCGGCATTAAATTCTGATTGAGTCTAATAAATCAGTCGGGAAGGGGGGGATGCGCCGGCCCTGGCCAAAAACTAGAGGTCATACAGCACATAGAGTCTATCAGTACTGTAAAACTGTCACATAGGAAGTCTCCAACCCGCTGATATACGGAGCTCAGCGCAGACATGCCTGTTGCACCGCTGGCCTGCAACAATTTCCTCCACTATGTGGGCTTGTCCATCACAGGGCTATTTCTTTATTTCTACATAGCACAGTGTTGCTCCAAAGGGATCGTCCAGCTAAGATCTAACAGCGCGTCGTATCCCTACAAGCCTGTTAGTTCAGTACACATTAATAAACAATCCCCTCGTGTTTGTATTGAATAGTACAGCGGTGTGACAGCTAAGCGGAGAGGAAAGATGATTTGGACAGCTGAGGAAGGCTCTTAAAATGGGCTATTTCTTCCTGGAGGCTATGAAGACGCCGGGTCATTGGGAAGATTGACATTTTCGACAGGTTCCCCAGTGGCAGCCGAACACTCAGGAGAACTTCTTTGTCTTTTTGCTTGAGGGCAGTTCATACCTAACAGACATATCCGCTGCCACCTGTGGCCAAGGCCACGACACAGCCTACAGGAGCTGTAACATAGAGGTGAAACTGCTCAGTTTGTCTTGCAGAGGCATATATATAAAAAAAAAAAAAAACAAGTCAGGGATGATGTCCAAGCTGGTAGCCTTAACCTCCTGTCTTAATACCTTCACACAATCTTAAATTTCTTTATCCTACCGGGTGCACTGACTTAACAGATGTAGGATATGAGTATGAGCCCACATCTGAGCTGCTTTTTCCTCTCCTTCCGCTATCTGTGTGCTCCTGTTTTCAGAATCTACTTTGCTATGAGGAACAACAACAACCTACCACACTGAAAACTGCTCCTTTTGCAGAGGTTTTGAACAGCGTAGTAATCCAGCCCGCCGTTTGTTTTCGGTGAATTATCCATTTTAATGACACTGTTCGCCTACCTGCATGCAAATGTTCCACCAAAACAATTCCTCCTTTCACTGTTTTGAGGGAACATTGAGGCCGTATATTTCACTTAGCTCTGCCCAAATGTCTTATTCGGTACCTTAAGCAAAGTTTGCAGAGACTGGAATTTGATGAAGAAGGAAAATCTGTATTCACAAATATAGATATTAAGGAATATTCAGCAGTATGATGTTGCACATGAACAGTTTGAACTTTGACATTATGTGCTGGTGCATGGAAAGGTATTAAAGTCCATGCATTCCCCCCCTCCCACAAACCTGCAGCTAAATAACAGTATGGGTTTTGTGCTCGGTGTGAAATGCGAAATATTAGTACAGAACTTTCAGATACACAATGAAGTAGTGTAGACATTCCTCCTGGTGCAGTGCAGGAAAGAAAGTCTGCCTTTGACTGCCGGTGTTGAGGTGTAATTCTCTCCTTAACATTTCAAGTTCAGTTGTGTGGGAGGCTTGTTATTCATGCAGATGTCACAAAAAGGCTCCTTCTCTCTCTTTCTCTCTCCCTATCTCTCTGTCTCTCTCTCTCTCTTTCTCTGTATGTCTCCGCTGCCCTAATTCCTCGGCAACTGCTGCTGCTGCAGTGGGCTCATTCTGTTGGCAGTCCGTGTCTCATTGTTGCTACTTCTTTAACACCTACATAATGTATTTCATTAGAACGTGCTGTCAGTCGCCGTCCGTTCCACTCCATCCCATCACTCAGACTCGTTTTTTTTTTAATGTATTTGTTTATTTTTATTTATTTATTTAGCTTTGGTACCATCTTCCTCTGTCTCTTGTCTGTGTTTCTTTCTCTGCCGGGAATTCAATTATCCCGGCTGTTGTTTTATGATGTTGTCATGACATCCGATGACGGATTCATTATCTCATCTCCTGCCATGACAGGATAGTAACATCAGGGCTGTTCTTTTTCTACACTTCTGCGGTGTGCATGCAGTTTTACTGGCTGTGTAGACTGTGTAATTGTTTGTCAGCGAAGATTTTATACTTAGGGGTAGCTTGCTTTCCTGCTTAATTAAAAGATGTTAAGGAAAATGAACAAACCGGAGGTTGTGAGGTGGCAGAATAATACAGAAATTTCGATAATGTTTTTTATAAATGTGAATTAATCAACAGTGAGATAAAGAGAAATCTCCTGATGAGCAACGCTGACTTGAAGTTTAGTCTTTGTTATGGAGAAAGAATACATAAATTATTGTAATATATATTAAAAAATATTCTGGTGAATTAATTTTGCATATGTTTGGTGAAGAAGTGGAACTCAAATGAAAGCCATGGGATTTATTTGCACAGCAACTTGTGTGTGTGTGTGTGTGTGTGTGTGTGTTTTTTTTTTTATGAAAGGGCAGGTTCTTGGGTGACAGGAAGGTTGGCACACTGTGGTTGGCGAAAATGTTGCGAGAACACTGTGGCTCTGTTTTAATATGGAAAGTATTAACCTCTGCTGGGGCTATAAAAAGGTCGCAGACTGACGCTGACTCCGGTCTGTTTGATCTCTGTCTTTTTCTGGCCTTGTTAAAAATTGCACAAAAACCTGAAAAGAAAAGAATTTAATTTAGCACGGCACGATATGCTAATTCACAGACTGTGTGCCTTTCCCTTCATTATGTACATTCTTTAATAACACTCTCTGTGTTGCAGGAAATGAGTTTGGCCATCCTGAGTGGCTGGATTTCCCCAGAGAGGGCAACAATCAGAGTTACCACTATGCCCGCCGGCAGTTTAACCTAGTGGATATGGATCACCTCCGCTACTGTCAGCTCTATGCCTTTGACCGGGACATGAACCGCACCGAAGACAAGTACGGCTGGCTGGCAGCCCCACCTGTAAGGACATCACACGCACTCCCCGTACAGTAGGCTTTATATAGAAACTCTCAATGACAAAATCTCACAGCACCATTTTTTAATCACAACACAGAATATTTAATAACTCCTTGTATCTGAGCCAGTTGTTCAGCCAGAATAAATTCACTCTCAGGACACCGTCTTTACATACCTGTACAGTTTTCCCCGTCTCCATTCTGGAAATGTCTTGTTTCTCTGGCTGCTGTCAGGTCCAACAGTAATAGATTTTACTCTCATCCTTCAGCTTCTGTCTTTCCCTGCAATTGAAGGAGAGGAATTGGGAGGAGAAAAAAAAAATGTTTTTCTCTTGAGGGGCTGGTAGCAAAGTAATGGGATAATGCAAATGGAGAGTGTGGCTAAATTGACAGGGATTAGAAGTGAGGGTGTGTAATTGATTCAAAAATGCCCACCCTCACATCCCTGGGAATCAGTCCTCAGATTAAAGCTACTTCACCTTGTTATGTTACACTCTGACCTGAGTATTTCTCCTTGACAGACAAATGCAGCAGAGTGGGGGAAAAATATCAGAGAGCATAATTAGAGACATGCCTTGTTTACAGGGATAATCTCTGCACATTGGTCTAGCAGTCAAAAGTGTGTTTTGACGTACTGGAGGCTCCTTCGCCCTGTGGTACTAGATGAGACAGAGCTTTGGAGGTAAGGCAAAGGGAAAAACATAGCCTGGCTGATTCCTGCATTGCCTTTTGGGGGAAACGGGAGGGAAAGCTGATCCCAACGGATGCTACTGGCAGCGAAGACGAATACATTTGGCACCAGTGCTGACCTGCTATACACAGGATGCTGTTTTTCTTTCTTACTTGCTCGTTTTCTGTGCTTTTAATGTGAAAATATATAGAAGACGAACTCGACAGTGTAACCTCAAGACATCATCGAATTGTGTTCTCTCTGTGAAATATAACATCAAATCATGTGTAAAATAATTCTGTAAGATTATACAGGGACAGGTCGCTATGATCCAGCTCAGGGATCATATCTTAACATGGAGCCTTTTTACTAAAACCTCTGAAAAGCACATTTTGTTAGAGAGTGTAACACCAAATTAGCTTGTTTTTGATCACTTAAGAAATTGCCAAGTGATTATTCTGTTCTTATCAGGGCGGTTTTAACAGATTGCTGTTACGTCGAGATCACTAAAGACGAGCGCCTAACGAGCTTTCAAATGATCCTTAAGCACAAAAGTACATCATGATCTCAAGGAAACAAAATTCAGAAGGTCACATCAACACTTGTCCTCTACATGCTGTACAATTCTGGGCTGTCCTCGACAAAAGTTCACATTTGTCATAGAAACATTGTAAAATTTCATCCGTCCGTCCAGCACTGATCTCCTAGATCTCACTGTGAGACGCATCTACTGACAGCAGATTGACCGATTAGGAGAGTGACAGCAGTGTATGTCTTAATGTCTTAATATGTGGTTCCGCAAACCTTCCATTCGAAACACGGGATAAAATGACAGCGAATATATTGTCGGAACGTGTCGTGAATGGAGCAGATGGGTGACGTGACATCATAGCGCTGACATGCCTCAAAACTGACGTTGTCACAGTCCAACACTGATTGCGTTTTATCATACACACACGTTTTGAATTTAAATGTTGTAAGGCTGCCGTTCTCATTCTGTGTCTGTAGGCTTTTAGTCCAGATTTTTGCACAGTAATATATCTGTACGTATACTGTTACATATGATTTAATCAGCCAGTGTGCTGTTAGAGAACCCACGACAATCAGACATTATCTTTAAAAAGGTGGCTTCAAGGCAGGCACATGAAACAAAATAGTAAACATACAACCACCAGGTTTATTCAGTCACTAGAGCTGCTTCTATTAGCTTTAAAATGCTGCAGCAAACACACCAAATGTTCTGCTGTTGGCTGCAAAAGTGAACACAAGAGTCTTTGTGCACTACCCGCATCTGAGAAACTGATAACCCAGTGAGTTTATTTTTTGTTTATCAACAAACAAACAAATGAAAAATTATACACATAAAATTAAGGTAAAGATTAAAAGGTAACACTTTATAATAACTATCTGTTATAACTAGTTAATAGGTCATTTGTAAACTGTTAATTAGTGAGTTATTAACCACTTGTTAAGTGTTTGTTAATAGTTTGTTGATGATTTATAACGATGCCTTACAGATAGTTAATATACCATTTACAAACTGTTAGTTAATGAGTTATAAATGACTTGTTAACTAAAAGTGTTACCCTTTTTTTTTTTTTTTAAGTCTTGCTATAGGGAGTTTAGGATTCCTGAGATTTTGGGGGTTTTCTTGTACATTTTTGTTGGGTCAGAACTTTAGTTGAAAATTATATTAGGTTCATTTCCATAGTTACTATCACTGCAGGATATTGCAGCCTTATATTTAAATCAGTTAGGTTCAACCCCATAATGAGTAATACTGCAGGGTGTTAGTCTTATTGTGTATTAAGCTCAGGTGAAATAGGTTTTGATATAATTTTTGTTGGATTTAGTCCTTGATAAGTAAATTACTGAGTTAAATTCATACCATAAATAGCACTATAGGGTCTTAATGACAGCTTTGAATTTGGCTGTATTTAAATGTTAAATTACTGCTTAGAAAGAAAGTTAGAAGCAATAGAAAGAGACAGAGAGTCTTCTTCCTGACAGCAGCAGCTCAGCTGTATTTGAAGCTACAGACACTGAAACAGTCTATTTAATACAAGACTGAAGTTATACAGTCATGTTGAAGTGAATCATTTTTGTGTTTTGTTTTTTCTTTCTTAGCTGAGAGGCATTCTGGAAAGATATGAAACTTAAATTAATTTGCTGACAATGGGCACAATATGGGACCTTTAACATACACTTAAGATATTAGTTAAGTGGTGTGTCGACCAGACTAGAGCAAGAGATAATAAATGAGTTTCAGCGGTTTCTGTAGCTGACCCTGTGTTCCAGTCTCTGTGCACAGAAGCAGCTAAGACAAAAAAAAATAAAAAAAATCTTATTCATGAACGGATACAATATCACAGAAGTACTTTGTAGAACATCACTCACCGATAACGGCAATGACTGTTCAGAGATTCTGCTCTAACAACCAGATGAGTCTGAATCCTCTGTTGAGCTTATCAATGACATTGCCAAGGTAATTGTGCTTAGTCGGAGTATTCTACAGCTCAGCTAGTTCAATATTTCACTGTGGTGGGAGGATCCAAGGACGTTTTGTAGTGAGAACGAGATGCAGAAGATGATCCGTCAGATGTTCTCCTTGCTGTCCCAGGTGTAATTGATCTAAGCAAAAAAAAAAGAAACATGCAGGGACTTTGCTTAAAAGTGTGATTTGGGGCATTCTTCTTTGAAGGTGTAAAGCTGTGAGCTTCAAAAGGCCAAACTATGGACATGAACTGATGCTCCTGGTGTTGCAGAGATGGCATCACTTGAGGCGTACCACTGCAGCATCAGTGGCAATAAAACCTTAAGTCTGTCCTTATTTATTGAGTAAAGCTGTCTGTGTTCCAGTGGCCATTATTTGATTCAGTCACATAGCTTTCCTTGAGCAAACCCTAGACGAGAAGTGAAATCATTATTTGTCTCTTCTTTTCCAGCAGCTGGTTACATCTTTAAATGTATTTTCAAATTTTTTTTGCCCACAGCAACACCAACGTTTAAATCCATTTTTTTCGGCAAACTGCGCTGGGTGCACCTGCAGCTGATTTAGTGGAAGTTCCAGTGAAGAAAAGAAGCAGAGTGGGGGGGATTGCAGTTGGTCGAAATATTGGATTTCAACACTGGTTTTGCAAAAATATTCTCATTCAGACTGCTGACTTCACAAATAGGGATTTACCCTCCGCTCATTGCCTGGCAAAGTTTTTTCTCAGAACAGTTTGAGGTCAGTGTGATGCTGCAGGCGGTGACAGAAGCAGAAAACTTTACAGACTCCGGGCCTAATATCAAACAGGAATACATTTCTTTCACATCAGGCAGCCATATGTTTGCATCTTAAGAAGGTATTTTTCTCGCCGCACAATTGAAAAGTTTTTCGATTCTCATTTGGATTTTTTCTGACAAGCATCAGCAGATTCTGAATATAATCAGAATAAATTTATGATAGCAACCAAGTTATTTGATTGCATTTACATTTATTTATTTATTTATTTATAAGTAAAATTGGACATTTACTGTATATGCTTATTTGGTCGCAGCTTAATGGATGCAGGTTAAATTTGCCGTCCGGCGCTAACCGGCCAGAGGAACTTGGCATTACTTCAGATTTGCGGAGTTCTCGCGTAGAAATGGACTTGGTAAAAAAAAAAAAAAAAAGACTCCAGACTGTCAGCTCATTTCTTAACCTCCATCCTCTCTGCTGGTCCGGTTGCAGGGGTGCTTATCTTCTCGTTCAGCCGTGAATATGCTGCCCTGAAATTGGCTTGGGGAACATGGCACTAAAAATAGGGGGTTGGGTGACATTGATAATCTCTGCTAATGACACGTTAACAGTAGCTCGCTCCACAGGAGAGTGGCGGCTTTATCATGTGCAGCTGTCTAAAGCTGACAGTGTCTGCCTCGCGCTATCCCGGGCCGCTGCTCTCCGCTGATGAGTGCCACCTGTAATTTGATGTGCGAGTGTTTCTCAGTCTGTTTGGAAATGTGTCGTCCACTGATATATTGCGCCCCATTATGACTCTCTAAATCCGAGATGAGAAAGGTAATGACTATTCATGAAGAAATGCTTTATTAGCTTTTCTTTTCTCTCTCTCTTTTTTTTCTCCCCGCAGGCCTATGTCAGTGCCAAGCATGAAGACGACAAGGTCATTGTGTTTGACAGGGCAAATGTGGTCTTTATCTTCAACTTCCACCCCAGTAAGAGCTTCCAGGCCTACAGGGTGGGTGTAGAAGTTCCAGGAAAGTATCCTTTTAGTTCTCATATGTCCTGTCACTGCTCGTTTCTTAAAAAATCTTCAGACACCGGCTTTCCTCTTGTCACACCACAGTGCACACTCGAAGTGCCTCTGAGAGTAATGATGTCCTTGTTAGTTAGTTCTTTACAACTTTGTTACTTTCTATACAGTAATGCGACCGAGTCTGAAGTGTCAGTATTTCAACCAAGACAGTAAATGTCTATTAAAAAGGGAGCCTGAAATGAAGGAGCTGCGAAACACATGATCCGCACTGCGCAGCTGGATTTTTAAAGCTCACAGTGAGAACATGACCTTGTTTTTGGAAGGAGTTTGCCTCTGCAGCGTTTTGGGAGCGTGAGGTAAAGTATGTCAACAGCTAGTTGGTTACAGACATTAGTTTTTTACACAGTAGATCAATTTTCTTAACACCTGGTTGTCCTGTATATTTTCAGGGAGTATTACAAGTAAGTTTCTAGTGAAGCAAACAACCACATTTCATTCAGATCAGCTGTTACTTACTAACTTTATGGGACTGAGGGTTTGACTGGCAGTAATCTGTGCTCGAGTCAGACATGTCCACCCAGTGAATTTATACCAGGTGATGGATATAAACAAGAAAACAACCAAAAAACTGAATTTCTTAGGACACCCAAATGAGTACTTCAGAACATGTCAGCATCAATGTATGTCAGCTGTTCAGAGAATTTGCAATTTTATCACATCAGCTCACAGGAGTGACACATCTCGTAGAGTCCCACCTCGTCCTCTGTCTCTCAAACGTGTTTGTGCTACAGGTGTCAACTAACAAATGCGAAACGTCCAAGAAACACTACAGAACATTATATTACCAACGTGTCAGATCTCCAACATATATATATATATAAAAAGAACTCTGCAACTCTCAACCGCATCACTTCTGCATGAGTTTCATAATCATTTATTCCTGTCAGTGGGTGAATAGGTGAGATGGGGGAAGTTTACATCCAGCTATGTCACCTATAATCTTCACTACTGGCTCTTGATATGAAGTTGAGGGCTTGACATTGCCGTAAATAAAACTCCCACTAGTACAGTAACTTTGTTAGGTCATTGAGAATGATTAAATTCACCTTTGAGAAGATTCCAGACTATGAAGCGTATCAGGGATCCAAACGCTGTCAGACTTGTTAAAAAGTAAAGGTTACTTGTAAAGACCCGCAGCTTTAATGGCAGTGTTTTCTTCTGAAGCTGCTACTTCTGTGATATAATTTTAGCAGTCAGTGTTGAGAGGAATATGAGTCAGTTGTTTATAGTAGTGTTGTTATGCTATTAGAGAGAAATAACAGCAGAGCCCAGTGATTCAGAAAGCATTCTCTTTAGCGGCATTGGCTGTCAGGAATTTAATGAGTCCCACAGTTGTGATTACAGCAGGCTTAATGATCAGGCATGTGAAGGGGGACAGGAAGCTGACAGATTTGTATTTATTATAACGGACATCAATCCCTTATGGGGCTCGGCGTGGCTCACGCCGACGGATTCCCGGCTGGGCGCGACGCTGCGTTGCTTTTTCAGCTACGACTTAAATAATGCGGTGGTGAGTGGACGTGCGGACCAAATTGGGTAGCTTCCTCTGGGTGCCAGCGGTTCAAATCATTACATGTGGACAAGTCGGTCTCAATTGTGATGATTCGATCGGCTGACAAAGAGGGCATTAAACAGGAGTGATTCCTCTGCGTTTAGTGTTTTTGTTTTATTTAGATGGATAAGTGGTTGCCTCTGGCTGACTAATAAAATAGTAATAACTCTGTCAAAATACCGTTAAATATCAAAAATGAAAACAGATTCAGATGATGTTGTTATATTAGCCAAGTCAGACGTTATTAGGCTATTAACTGGCTGTTTTCATCCAGTAGGGACCTCCTCCACCTTCCAGTTGGCTCAGTAGACACTTAAGATCCTTGAGAAACAGAATATAACCCTGATAACGTAGGTGACCCCTTCACCCAAATCCAAGCATCACCAGACAGGCCCGTAGGTATGACAATGATCTGTGATGATAACAGCCAATTAATACGCTGATGACATCTCAATCGGATGCATTAACAAGCAAAATCATTCCCTGATTATTACATCTTTGCCAATTATATTATATAGTTAGATAGATTGATTAGTACAATGGATAAAAAAACCCAAACGGAACATTTTTAATATCCATTTTCCATTGTGGCATTAAAAGTGAACAGTGAGACAGAACAATAATCTGGTTTAATTGATGATTTAAAAGCCAATAGAAGGAACTCTTCATCTTTTAGTATCATGCGTTAATTGTAAGCTTGTCTGATGTGCAATAATTGTACGTTCTGCCTCGTGGTTTGGGCTCTGCCTTGATGGGGTGAGTCTTGGGCAAAGCACTAATAGCCTTGCTGCACGGTGTCTGTAACATCGTTTTTGAGGGTTTATTTTCATTTAGATGGAACCACATCTTTTCCTCCTGGTGCTTCTTTTGATGTTTAAGGAGAGGCCTCAGACACTGGGTGGGTTGAGAGGAAATGCAAATAAATGTGAGGGCAAAGCTCTGGCTGTCATTATACAGAGAGGCGGTAAACACATAAAGGCAAATGTGCTGTGTGTGTGTGTGTGTGAGGAAGGTAAATGCGCCGTGTGTATGAAGAGATGCAGATCCTCCGATGGGAATGTGTGCAGAGGATCCAATTAGGGGAGAAGACAGATGAAAGTGCCACTCAGAGGCAGAGGAGGTAAACAAGACAAGCTCAAAGAGTCCAAAAGTGCTTTTTCATTACACTCAGCTGTCATATACTTAAACTTTATTCTACCTGTGTGAGGGTCAGGGATGTCACAGTGGAACCCCACACCACTGCTCTATCTGGGAATGATAGCTCGATGCGGCTGACCATGCTGTTGAAAACTGATACAATACGGGGTGTCATTTCCTTTGGCAATGTGGCAAATACCATATTATATCGTTGGGTGTCCCTCTCGTGCAACAAAAAGCACAATTAAGCTACCTTTTGTTGCCCTCTGTCACATGTTGGACGCCTGCATGTTGGATCAAGGGATGATTTTCTCTGATTGTTCCCTCTATAATTATCTATTACGCAATTAAGTCTCGCGGCAGTGCTGTTCGAAGAGGAGTAGCTACCGCTGCACAACTCCTTAATGCTTAATTAAGGATATAGTTGTCAATATAGCGGCGGAAGGAATCCACAGTTGCCGCAGTACAGATGTGTTACAACTAAATAACTGCTGTGGTTTTAGTCTCGGGAATATAATGTAGAACTGAAATCCTCCCGTCTTAACAACTCAACTGCAGTATAGTTATTTCTCAGTCCCAGTTAGTTGGATGCTCACTGACTGTTTGGCCTCTTCATATTTTTAGACAGGCTTTTCTGTTGCTTCTCATTGTCCTCTTTTTAATATGTTTTTTCTCTCTGTGTGTGTCTCTCTCTCTCCATGAGAAGAGACGGTAAAGCCAAGCACCTCACCCAAAAGTGTTGGCCATTAAAATGCAGTCAACGTCAGCTTTTAGACAGGCACTCAAACCATCAGTGTTTTTTATTATTTTTCTCTCTGACTCGTGGTGGACACATTCTTCAGGCAGTGGTCTTTATCTGGCTGGTTAGAGTATTTGAAATCCCAGTTGGATCCCGTCATGAAAGCTGTACCTGTCAGGGCAGATTGGTCTTTGATTTACACTGTGCCAATAGGCAGTTGCGATTGTGTCAGGTCATCATTCTCCTTTTCTGTCTGAGCTGTTCCTGGATTGCCATTTGGAATAATTCAGCTGCAAGTGCAGTGACACTAACTAACTGGAATTTAGATCAAAAACACGCGCCGCTGTGCATAGGTAAAAGGCAGCGCGGTCTGATGTTATCTATAATGTTCGAGATAAGGTTTGGGGGGGAAAAAGGGAAATATGCATCTGTTTTTGTTAACGCAACCCTCCGCGGTGAGCAGCTGTGAGATAAATAAAGACGGACTACATTTCTATCCTCTGCGTCGTTTTCCATTAGGTTGTAACACGATCAGATATCATCCGCAGACGTCGTCATCAGTTCAGAGGCTTAATCTGCGATTCCAAATTCTATCAAGTGCTGCAGACAAATAGAGGAGCTGCTTCAGTTCAGTTATTAAAGCAAAATTCAGTTCTTATTTTTTGTAGTTTTTGCCCATCATTCCTCTCGATTATGATAACATTGTACTCAGCGAAGTAATTCCTGACTTCTGGAAATAGGCTGGCATTATTAAAAGTGATGAGGCAAGAAGCACAGAGATAATCAGACAGGTTGTGAACACGCCAAACATTTGGCCAAATTATCCACCGCTTTATTTGTAGGTAAAATAAACTACGGCCCAATTTGCATCCCTCCGCAGCCTTTTAGCACCCGGTGTGAAAATGTGCCACAACCGTCTCAAGCAGATAATCAGACCCGCCGTAAATCAAGCGGTTACTGGGTGCAGAACTAATAATCTGGAGCTCACCGTACCAGAGGACGACACAACATGCTTTGTTTGTGAAACGCGTCATTGGAAGTGTTCAAACAGTTGAAATAGACAGTCAAACCCACATCCCATCAATAAAATCCGACTGAGAAAAGAAATTTAAGCAGAGAGCTGTAGGTAATAACTTCTCATTATGCAGGAAAACTCTTTGCACAAAACTCTGGCAAGTGCAGCACAGTAGGTCAAAGTCACTCCAGGAACTGAGTCTATTAGCTGTAATGGATATTTATAAATTGTATTTTATAGCTTATGATCATACATTTTAAATGGCTTGTTAGTTTGTTTGAAATGTGTCTGATCATTTGACTGCTCCCGTTTCAAGTTCAACGTTGCGTAACTATTGAGCCCTCTGGAGCAACTAGTCTGTACAAATTCATCGCCGCACGTTGTTTTTTTTTTTTGCACAGAATTTCAAAAATAACTGAAGGTTAATCACCACGTTAAAGGTCAATCTGGATGCCTTGGAAATGAAACAAATAAATGAATACAGTAGAAGCAAAACATAGCTGAAAGCTGTTAAAAACTATTTTTAGTTGTCATGCATGATGATGGATTTTAATTATAAGAAAAAGGTGTTTCTTTTATTTCTTTTCGTTATACATGAATACTCTTTAAAGGTCCAGCTTTGCATGGCTTGCTGCCGGTTGGCTCGACCCCTTCTCTTATTCTTTTACAAACAGAAACCACTTGTGCCATTTCTTCCACTCTGATGTAACTTACACCGTCTGAGCAGAAAGCAGAGGTAAAGTTGCCACTGAAAAGGCTCGATCCAGTATTTAGAATGCTTACAAGGCCGTGCCACATTCTTCAGATGTGCACACATCTCGCTCAGGTCTTGTTTACCCACGCCAGGCTGCTATTACTTTCATAAAGCCTGGCGAGAGAAAAAAAAAAAAAACGACAAGCTGATGGAGAAACTAAGTGGTGGCTTGGTCTGCAATCGTGGTCATGGCAAGATTGTTTTCAGGTCATCAATGACTCTAATCATCAAGCTTCGGCCTGGAATCGTATCTTTCTGCTCATTGGGCAAAATTGATTGTGTTCTTTAATCTTCCCCTTTATTCACAAAGGCTCTATCGATTACAATACTTTACAGCTGAACTGCAAGCTGTTGTTGCAGCCGTCTGTAGCCACTAACAAAGACGTAATCGCTCAAAGCCTCCAACTACCAATTTGTGCTGGTCCTCACTTCCTTGCAGAGAAGTTTGCCAGGGAACTGTGAATTACTGTAACTATGCCTCATTTCCCAGCACACTCGGTGCCACAGACAGACACACACACAAACGGCGTTCGCAGAATCCAGGAAGGATCACGGCAGCTGTCTAAATCGCCTTTGAAACACATGGGATATTTACAGTTGCCACACATTTTGTATGCGCGGTTAGAATTAGTTTACGTAAAGATTTTTTATTATTTGCATTAGCAGAACGAAGCTTTGAAATCACATCATATAGTTTCCCAGGAGCATTGGGGAGAGTATTAGCATATTCTTCCAGTAGGTACAGTAAAAAAAAAAGAACCTGCACGGTGAAATGAGTTTGTTCTGTCAATAAGCCGCCGTAGTGGAGGAGGGGAGCTTCCTCCTCAGCAGAAACAATGCAGAGATGCGGAGCTTCTTTTTAATCATCACTATCAAAGAAGACAAGCAGGCAGCAAAAGCAGAATTTCCCCGGCTCTGGGGCAGAATGAAGCAGCGTTTGAGGATCACACTCAAACCCCGGAATGTCGCCTATGGGGAGATAAGGTGATTATTCAGCCAGCCAATTAGGAGGTTGTTTGCATGCCTGCCCTTCTCTCTTGGCGTTAGTTACAGCACCTATCCTTATTGCCACCGACCCTGGGAGAGTGGCACGGGCAAGGCTCAAGTTTCCCTGTGGGGGACATTTTGGGATGAGAAATATATATATTTATGTACATACTTGTCAAAGTGCACTTTCTTGCATTTTAAATCTGGCTTTTAAAGTGTCTCAAATATTTTCTCTGACATTAATAACAGCCCTGTAACTTGCACTGACACCCATCCTTTTTGTTTTTTTTGCCAAGCAACAAGATGGGAACCGTGCTTATGTCAAGCAGTTTTAAGAAAAGCAAAAAAAATAATTTGTCTAAAAGTCTCCTTGAAGAACAGTTTCGGCAAAAAAAAAAAAGTTTGTGGAGCTCTTTCCGTACAATTTACCTATCACATTAGACAGTATTCTACATTTCCCTTTGAAGGGCATGATTCCTTATGTAATTGATTTGATCATGCACTTTCATAAAAAGGTGAACATATTCCCATCCCATATGCCCTCACTGGGGCATATGGGATGATTTACATATTATGTTTCATGCTGGGTCTTTCCATCTTGAACACGCATATTTCATGAGAACCTGATTATAGAAACTGCCATCAGTCAGCTCTTTAATGTGCGAGCATCCTTGTTTAAAAGCACAGTGGAGAGATTGAAGAAAAAGTGCCGGGAAGCTGGATTGTGTTAGTATTCAAACCCTCATCCACACGTGGAGTTAGTACATACAGCTTTCCTTTTACATAGTTAACATGGGGTTTTTTGGGTTATTTAACTAAGTGCAGCAAAGAACCACAGCCCCTAAACGTTTTCTAAGATATTCAGTTTTATGCACATCACAACGATAAAACCGTTTTTGTATGATCCACAGAAGTGATTCAGTGTTTGGCTACAGTCAGACCTGAACATGTGATCCCTACCGGTAGGTTTAAGAGGGTGAATGCCATCTATTGTTGGTTATTCAGATCAATTTGTAGTGATTTGCTCTATATTTGACATGAATAAGTCTTTTCCCTTGTCAAGTTGTTAAACAAGAAAATATGAACAAGTCCTGGAGGAGGAGAGAATAATCTTTATCATCTTTTGTGTGTGTGTGTGTATCTGGTGTCACTCATTTGGATCACTTTTTTGATTAAACTTGTTATTTATGCAGTGAATTAGATAAATTAGACAGGCAGGCTGGATGGTTGGGCCATGGCTGAATCACTTTTCTATTTATGCTAATTTCAGGCAGCATTCTCTTTGTCTGTTTGGGCTCCGCACTGTCACTTCGCAGCGCTGTGAGGTGGAGATGCATGCTGATGGATGTGAGGATTTCAATGAGTATAAACCAGCTGAGCGCCGCTAAAACCGAGCCTGCAACGCAAAAGCGCCGCTGATAAAACCTCCTCCAGCGCTTTCTAATGTCTTCGATCTCATAAGCCAGTTTCCCACTGCTATTGTGCCTTAACCTCAATCTTTTGTCAGATACAAAATCAAGCTGGATTCAGATATGCATCATTATGGGGGTCACGGACGGCTGGACCACAGCACCGAGTTCTTCACAGAGGCCCAGCCCTTCAACGGCCGCTCCAACTCCATACTGGTAAATATTTTCAACATTACACTTTTGACTCATCAAAGGTCATCTTTTGTTGAATGTCATCGAGCCGTAGGTTTCGAGGATACTTCAATTGTAAATCCAGGGCTGTTGTAGTCGAGTTCTGGTCTCTAACAGCACTGCGCTGTATCGCCGTCCCCTTTCTGCATACTAATTCTAGAGGTTGTTGTACATTCACAATGAGAAAGTGACAAAATTAAGCACACTCCAAAATGTCAGCATGCATACTAAACGATTGTTGAGTGGTGCTGTTGATGGACACTATTGTCCCACAATGCAATGCACATATGTAGGGCTAATGGAGGAGTTGCTCACAGCTGAAACACATCAAAAGAAGTTGTGGGCGGTGATGAGACAGCTCCAGAAATAATGAAGGATTAAAACTTTGGACAAATATTTTTCTTTCTCTTTGTTGTTTCCAATTTTATTTTGCCTGTAGCACTACAAAGTGGCTTGTCTAGCATCATTTCCTATTAGCACAAAAATATATTATAAAACATGCTTTTTTTTTTCATTTGTACTAACTTCTATCAAAGTGGTCGCATACATCTGTGGTGTTCTTATAGTCTGTGACTTTAGGGAGTAGCTTTGTTAGACATAAACAGTGTGTTAGCTGCTACACTGCTGTCGTTAGGTTATTAGTTTGACCAGGGTATTTTTACCCCACTATGACATTCCCTAGTATATTCCTTAGTGGTTCAAATGTCACCTCCTGTTGAAGAAAACTGGTCCCCGATATATTTCTTCTCTTTGCAGCAACGTTGACAAAGCAAAGTTCCTCAAACATGTAAAGCTGATCTGCATTAATCAGGTGGATATTCGTGGTTTTGCACCAGTTAAAGGTTGTAATTTTTTTGCAAGGACATTTTGTACCCGCTCGCAGCAGATACAAAATGTGATGAAATAGCTGCCAGTGTATTAATGTTTTGTCCTTTTTATGTTCCATGTTTGATTCCACAAATCAATTTAATTAGCCTGAAATGGAGTTTGTAGCAAGAGGATCTTTTAATACCATTCTAATTAGGTTTAAGTGTGTTGGCATGAAAGAAGGCTGCTTGTTCTGGCAAAGAGCCACCATCTCCCTGGTCTGGGACTCTCAGCTTAACGGCTGCACTATAATTTAGCGTTTTCTTCATTAATGTGATTACCTTTTAATACGAAATCAAGAAAATGATCAAATGTGACTGTACTGTTCAAAAAGAAAAGTTTAGATCTTTCTGTCGGGAGATGGTTTCGTTGTTCACGCTCTCCTTAGTGTCAGGGTTTGTTTGCGAATATCACATTTGACATCTGTGCGCTTTACTCCTCTCATGCTGGCTGTTATCCTGGAGTCATGGAGCATTATGTGAATGTGATACCTACAGCTCTTTCAGATTCTCCAACAAACAATGTGCATTATTCATCGCGTTAGAACTTACCTTTTGATGTGCATGCCTCTTAAGCTTGCACGGCGTCATGGAGGGGAGGGAGAAAAAAAAAAAGTATATCTGGGAGAAAGAACCGCCGGGCTTCCATCATGAAGACTGCTTAAGGCTAATAGCATGAAATAGGTCTGTCCTTGAAATATAGAAGGAAACACTGATATGCATTTTAAGCAGAGTGCTTGAGGAGCTTCCTCATGTTTGCCTCTTTATTTATTTTTTCTTGATGTGATTTTTTTTTTTCTTGATTAAAATGCTGAAAGCCAATAAGATGTTTATGAATAAGGTCAGGGATGAATTACTGAGGTTCGCCGCAGATACCCAAACACACCCGGCTGATTGCGCGCGCTGGATCTTCTGTTAACGAATCCAATTAACGCACAAGGACAATGACGTCCGTGAAGTGGTCTGCACAGTTATCGTCTCCTTTCTGCGGTTGTTCAGTTTGTTTAGTAAATTAATAAACATCTCGAGGCAGCGCTGAAGCAGTTTCAGGTTGCGCCGGAGTTGACACAGCACCTGATGAGGTGTTTGTTTTTCTGAACTCAACTTGAACCTCCAGCAGATCAATACGGAAAGTGTTGCAGTTAATGGATAGAGGATATTACTCTATATTAAGAGATGGACGGAGCACTTTAATGCATCAAAAATGCGTTTCGCAAAGCTCACACTCCTATTGAGAGCATCAATTCAGCGTTATTTAAGATTCTGTCGACCCCTGTTTAAAAGCCTCTTCCTCTTTCATGCAGACAGTGATCCTCCGTCGTATTAGCTTAGGTTTCATCAGTTGAGGACACAAATTCCACAATCTCTTAAATCTTTTCTAACTCTTATTAATTCAAACACCGCTGCTTCACCCGTGTCCCTCTCGGCCAAAATGTGAAGTTTAGTTAACAAGTCATCTGCTAATTTTGGCGCCATCGCGTATTAATGGGGAATGAAAGGAAATGAGAGGAACGGAGTTGGCAAGGAGGGAGGAACGAGGCTAGTGGCACACACTGTGTCTCCTTTAAAGACTTCTTCGTAGAGATTGCACATTAAGACTGTGGTCTTGCATAAAGATGCTTTTTCTCCTCCTCCTCCTCCTCCTCCTCACTCCTACCTGGTTATGACAAGGATAATCAGACAAGATCCTCTGCGGGGGCTGTGAAAGGTGCCCACACCGTCCATGTTTTATTTAACAACTTTTGCTTTCAAAGTCTGCGCAAACTTCGTTTCTTCTGTCTTTTTAATGGGTCTGTCGGTTCTCCAGCTTCCTCGTTACTGAGTGATAATAAACTCTCATATCCTCCAAGAGCGCATCACACCTTAGACTGGGGATGCACGTAATTGGATGAAGCCGGCGGAGTCGGGAGCGTCCCGGTGGCTGTGGCAAAAACCGTGTAACTGTTGTGCCCCGTGTTTACAAATCTTATCATGGGCTCTTGGCATCTGACACCTCTTCAGTCCTTACAGTCGTGTCATTTTCTACATTATGAAAAAAATCAATAAAGCAAAAAAAAAAAAAAAAAAAACCGTCCCCACCGCCGCAAAACAAACAAACCAAAAATAAGAGAAAATCCTATTTGAAGTGTCACAGATGGTAAACAGAGTATGCAAGAGAATGCTGCTTATCACGGTTGTTACTGCCAGTAATTGAAATGATTTACGTCACTGATTGAACTTTGTCCTTATAGCAAACACATATGCTGCATCTGTTCCACAAATAAGGGACCATACGTAGAAAGTTATGGCTTATTGTTGGGTAATAAAACATACTTTAATTTATAAGAATAACCTTTAGGATGACAGATTGTGGGGGGGAAGGATCCCTTTTGCTGTTGTCTCTCTTTTATCCTCAGTTACAATTAGTGGGGAGTTTTTTTAAAAAATTGAATTATCAATACAGCAGTTCTAAATGTTAATGGAGCTCTCACAGTTGTAAAACCTTTACAAATGGTGACTTATTAGGAAGTGATATTCAAAGTTTAATAATAGTAATTGTAAATTAAAACAAATTGTTTTTTTTTTTTATAGTTACTGTTACGTAAAATAATTTATTTTAAGTACTAGTTGTGCCTAAAAGGTAGTAGTGAAGTTGCTAGTGTGCACTCAGCTCCAGACGGTTAGTGTGAGTGTTTGACAGAGTTCGGTTCTCTTATGGCTCTGGGGTAGAAGCTGTTTGTCCGTGTTCGATGGACCTGAAGTGTCAGAAGGAAATTACTAATAGTGAAATCTTCCACTGAGATATTTACATGTAACACGACGTCTTTCAGATAAAAACTGTGTATGTACGTGGCCCTAATGCGTGATTAATCCCTACATGGACTACGAACGATAACAATATATGTGGACTGAACCGAACTCATTTACTGAAACAGAAATGACTGTGCAAGCGGGGATAAAATGGGATGAGATACAGCTATACTAAAAAGGCGAGGTTGCTGGAGAAATGACATTTAAACGTCTTGGCAAAGAGTCGGCCTAGCAACGGGATGCGGGGCATTTCCAGATGTGCTGTCCAAGCTCTTCCGCAGAAGCACAAAGAAACAGGCGAGAGCGAGGACCAGAATCGCGGAGATCGGCCAAGGAAGCCGAGTGCAGCAGGTGAAGGACGCATTAAGCCGACTTCCCTTCAAAACTGGAATATGTGCGGCGCTACCATCAGCTCACAACTGGCATGAAGCTGCGGTGCTCTGGTTCACCCATCTGCAATTCAGAGAAGTCTGGTTAGAAGTGATATTTAGGTAGGATGTGAAGCCAAAAAGCCATTCCTCTGATTTGGAAACAAAGCCAAGGAGGTCACTCACCTGTGCGCAGAAACACAAGATGTGGGATGCAGAAAAATGGCAAATTGAAATATGTGGCTCTAACAGCAGAAGGCAGTTTGTCCACCGAAGGGGCTAGAAATCGCTGGAATGAGGAGCGCCCCCAGGCAACAGTGAAGGATGGCGAAGGTTCTTAACAGGTTTGGGGGGGCTGCAGTTTTGCAAATGGAGTCGGGGATTTGGTTAGAATTAATCGTCTCCACAATGCTTACGTTCTTATCCCTCCCACAATTCCATTAAGGAGTTATATTCGGACTTATAGGGCGCTGTCTTCAGAGGCTGGAGGAATAAGGTGTCCTGTAGGAGATGGTTTGGCCCCCACAGAGCTCTGATCATGAAGTCAGTCTGGGATTACATGAAGAGACGAGAAACAACTGAGGAGAGAGCCCACATCCACAGAAGAACTGTGGCACATAAAAGAACATAGAAAAAAAAAATGAAGTTTGGAAAAATGGTGGTGTTTTAAAAGGCAAAGGGTGGCTCACACCAAATATCGAATTCACTTTTCTTTTTGGTGTTGTTTTCTGTATGATCTTATTTTGTCTTTAAAAGAGTTCTTCAAAAGTTCCTAAAACTTTGTACTGTGCATATTTAGCATTAATTGTAAAACGTCTTCTTTTTAATGTGACAGATTTACAACGATAACCGCATTGTTTTGTGTGTCGTTTTGTTTGATTGCCATGTGGGGTTTGCTTGTAGTAACAGAAGAATCAGAGCTCGGCTTTGTTTAATTTTATCCCTTGCCATGAAGTCAAATTTTAAAAAAAAAATCAAAAGATATGAAATGTGCTGTTCTCTTTATGTGGATAAAAAAAAAAAAAACGTTGCAGCTTTCTTTCGTCTAAGCGATCTGACAGCTTGATATCCTCAGCAGGGCCTTTTTACGAGAATCTCATACATCAAGAACTAGGTCTACCGCTGCTGAACGATTACCATTTATTCATTTAGCGAGACAAAAACTTAAATTGTCGGCGAGACTAAAAATTCCCCAAGTGAGAAAACTTATTTCGGGTTACCCTCCCGCCGTACATATCGCATGTACAGTTTTGTTTGAGCGTTACAATGTCAAAAAAATGTAATGCCAAAAAGTGCTGATGAATAATTAGCTGCTTCAAAACCTTTTGATAAACTTTGCATGCATCAAAGAGGTTGTCTCCTTTGACAGTTTCACAAAAAGAAATTAAGCTGAAGTGAGGAAGGGAAAGGAAGTGAGAGGAACGTAGCGAGCTCGCGACAAATGATCAAAAGACGTACATTGTCATCAGTGAGATCTAAGGCCCGACGCTGATGAGGAAGTGAGAACTAACCGAGTACAACTGTGACAGGACGTAGAGGACCTGTCTCGCACTTTTACATGCACAAATAAATCATAGGCACATAAACAGTATCGGTAAATCCACATTGTTTGAAGCATGCATTCACTTGTAATCGTGAATACAATCCTTCGTATTGGCATCTTTTTTGAATGTGATTTTTAATTTTTGTTTGTTGTATAAATCATCCTGTAAACTCGGAGCAGAAAAGCAGAATTCAGCACAATGAACTTACTTCCACAAAGTTTTTCAATTTTTTTTTACAGGGGCTTAATGTTCAGGTTCATTTTGTTGCAGTGCAGAGTTATTAGTCATGCCAGCTTTGTGATTGATTACAACTGAAATCTCATAATAATATTCAATAAATAGGGTGTTGATAGGTGAAGCGCTGATATTGATGCAACAGCCTTTCAGAAGTAACGCTGTTTTCATGTAACGTTCACACTTCCACTGAGAATTATGGCCGACAAAAACAAATCTCAGGCTGCAAACAGAACCAGACAGAATCCTTTAATGAAGTCTTCGGCTCAGTTCACCATCCAGGTCAGGTGTGTGTTGTTACCCGGTCAGATCCTTGGTTTTTTGCCTAAAGTACAACCTACATGTGCAGAAGTGCTTACAGGGAGTTGATACGTGTTAAGTGAGTAATGGAGCCAAACAGGAACATGTCTGGAGAGTTAAAGTGCACTGATAGTCAGGCAGTGCTCTGGCGAGCAGCTGGGGTCTGGAGCCAGAGTGGATGATATATTCCTGCGAAGCACCTCATGAATCCTTTATCAGTGTGTTTGAACATTGATCAGATTGAGTATCAGCCCAAAGGCTGGACTCTGCTCTTCAAGGGAGTACAAAATCTGAATTCTCACATGTGATCACGATACGAGGCAATACAAGAACATCCATGAGACAAAAGAAGTCAGGAAAAGGACAAACAGCAGTGGCTAACTTTCTGATAGTACAGCATTCGACAAACAAACTGCTTGTCTTCGTTCTCATCTCGTTTTGTTTTGCACCCCTGATATTAACACTCGGAATAAATTGTTAGATCGTGTTCTGTTGTGCAGAAACTGGTGCTGCATCTGACTGCTAGCGCTGAGCTGTTGTCTAGATATGAAATGGTGCTTATGAGTGTCAGTGAAGTGGTAAACACCTACTCCATATGACTAATCAGAAAGCAGCAGAGGCTTTGTGGACATATTCAGACAAACCCCATCAGATTCTCAAGACCAGTATTGTTGTTTGGTGAACGCTGCCTTTGCAAAAACTTGTGCTCGGCAAGATTTATACCTGACATTATGCCTGAGAAATCCGTATGAATATTGAATGGCTGGATGTGTGACCTGTGGATTGATGATTCATAAGGAAAGCAGGTCTGTGAAGTCAAAAGACAAGAGAGATCAGCAGAGTGATCAGTGAAGATGTGCCTGAGTAACCATGGAATGTGCAGAACTTCAGCCACCAGCCCTGTGCATCCAACACCGGCTACTAACTGATAGTTGATGTCAAAAAACTAATTTCCTCCTCACATTATTTGGGCAAATTTTAGGACAGGACCCCAAACAGTAGAAAATGCCACACTGTTGTGCTTCTTTTTGGATCTCCTAATGAACCAAGCTTTACATTTTAATAGGTGATAAGTTCTCTGACAATATTTTACTCCTCTGAATGTGATATATCACAGTAAGAAATACTCTCCTTAAGTCAGAATGAATGAATGACACTGGCTATCGATGTTAAGTTAAAAAAAAATCAGCCAGGTGTGATCATTGGGTTGACCTACTGTCTTGACAGTCAGCATGGTGGCTGTGTTGATGCTAATTCAACATCTTTGTGTATTTTAGCTGTAAACTAACTGACTGTTTATGAAAATGGACAAAACCTTCCTAGCATTACCTATAAGCTTCTTCAACAGGGCTATGCAAACATCTGGGGCTCTGACGGCACCCCCATGTCACTGAAAGCACCCATGCCTTGAATTATGCATAACTTTTAACCTTCAAATAATTTAAGTGGGTCAGTTGTATAAAAATGAACCCTGTCATGATTGGGTAAATTAGCTAATGAGACCATAACCACACATTGCACCAGGCTGTAAACATCTTTATTTATGCTGTAGAGTTAGACTTCATAACGTGGGCTTCTGTGGAGATGGACTGGCCTTTGGAGCTAGCCTCAGGTGGCCATCGGAGGAACTGCAGTTTGTTGGCAGCTCAGGAGGTCGGCATTTAAAAACCAGTAGATACGATGCTCTGTTTTCACAACTCTGGTTTTGGACTGTTGTGCTGAATTTTCAACTTGCATAAGCAGGTGGCATTTCTGTGCTTTTTCCATTGACTTTGTGTGCAATTATGTCACCTCTGAAATTCTCTGGGTGCAGCTGTACAAATATAGTTGAATTCATTTTATTCTGGCTTGGCTCAATACACAGAAAAATGACCCTCTGGTCCAGTATTGGATTAGAAAGTTTCACATATATACATATATATGAAGGGAAATATTTGATGCCTTTTAAAGATATGTCTACATGTTAGTGGGTGACAGGTTAGTCGCAGTCATGCACGCGTGTGTCCGACGTTGTCAGGAGTAATATGTTAATTAGAACGTCTTCCACTAATTGCTGTGCCAACACTTGGGAGTATCTGCTGTTCTTTGTTCACAGATTCATTTAGAATTTGTCACTATTGCTATCTGTTTGGTGGAAATAAAAGCTGTTGACATATTCCAGGTTAGGCACAGTGGTAGCTTTTGTCTAAACAGGTGCAGTGATTCATTCTGCCTTTCCTTCTCTCTGCGGTGCTTCTGCACGGAGACTCTCCCACTGTGACTGTTTAATTAGTCACCAATGTCTGTGTCAGTGTTTCAGCGCTGGGCTGCTTGACTCCCTCGGTGACAAACTGTTGCCAAAGAAACACATCCACAGTGAGCTCAGATCCACTGATGCCGAGGGGCGGCTTGAAGAGTTCAGGGGGTGATTGAATTGTTTACAGCTCTGCTTGCTTTTTTAGTTTTCTGTTGGGAAATATAGCATCATTTATGTCTGCTTGGCTTTTCCTTTGGCATAAATCTGAAATGACTAATGCTACACGGTGGCTCCTTGCCTCCAAATGACACTGTGAATATCAAAAGGATTGATCAAAGCCTGTATTAGCTGCACCACTCCAAACTAACACCCTCACTAAGATTTTTGTACTGTATATAAATAGGAAATCTGACATTCACACACTCTGTTCTTCCTGTTTTTTTAATTGTTTGATTGTTTTTTTTTTTTTTGCTTCCTTTGGTGTGCTCCCTTTTCGCTGACATGTTTTTTTTCTTCAGTCCACTGAACTTGGAGATTCTTTTAGATCAGCCTATGCCCACTGGCAGATTGTATCTTCACAGAATCCTAAATTTACAGCTGATGCATAGCCAATATGTAGAGATGATGAAACAAGCGGTTATTGCATTGATTAGAGAGTTCAGAAATGGAAATGAGGGCAAGATTGCTCATTTGGGGGATGGCTCTCTTGCATGTGCGAGATTTAAATAGAATATAATGTTAATGATGTGAATTTTAGACGGATTAAGCCACTGATCAAGAATTTCTCTGGACCAACAACACCGGGATGCTTATTCTCCTGCAGCCTGAAGCCTGAAATGAAACGCTACCACACAGTTTATGGGCACAAGTTAAGCAGTTTAAGACTCATTTCCTCTCTGCCAACACGCTGACTCTAGTGCCACCCAGAGGTCCTGATGTAGCTGCAACTCTGTCACACTTTGATTATACCTCTCTAACCTTGACGGTTGTCTTCGATCAAGGCTGTGGTGTTTGTCTCCTTTCAAGAGCTATTTTTCTGCTCAGATGTGAATAACCGTCTAAATACACCTCCCATCTTCTTCTTCACTGTATTTTTTTTCTTCCTTCTCCTCCTCTTTGTTTAGCCGTCATGTCGACCTTGATTGTGAGAAGCAACCATGCCTGATCATTAATGCACCACCAGGTGCCTGTATGTCTCACTTCTAAAGAAGAAGAAGAAGGAAAAAAAAAAAAAGGATAAACCTGAAGATTCCGTAATCTCCAGAATTGGTGATCTTATTAACATCATTAATCTTCAATTGTCATCTCACTTTTCTCCCCACTTTCTTTCCTCCCTTTGTCTCTCTTTCTCTTTTTCTCTCAGGTCTACATCCCCTGCAGAACAGCTATTGTCCTGGCCAACGAGGAGATAGATTACTGTTATTAGAGGATGATTGTCTCCACAGAGACCAGGATTGAGAATGGATTCCAAACTCAAACTGAGTGTTAACAATCACCTTCATCTTAAAGTGTCAACCTTGCACACCACCCAAACCTACTTTTTGTCTTCAAGTCTTTTTCTAAATGGGGGGAAAAAAGCGTTGCGAGCTCGTGTGCTTTCAAATACCATCTGCAACCTTAGACGCTGTGTAACCCCATTTACTGCAGATTGGTCCATTTGGGAAGCGTCCAACCTAACCAGCAGCTAGATGCTAAAACTCAAAACCCTGCCGAGTCCATCCACCACTAGCCAGCAGCCATTTATAGGCTCTGTTGCATTTGGCATGTCATCTGAAATACATGACCAGCGACTGTGGCAGAGTAAAGCAATACAGCCAGCATTCATTTATTCAAACATAATAAATAAATACACAAATAAATAGAACAATAATATTTCAAACTGTTAAATATGTTAAATACATTCTACTTGGTTTAATTGTTTTATATTTAAATAAAACTAGTATTATCGTGTCAAAGACACAAAGAGATTTACAGTATTACCAGCACTTGAAAATCAAAACGTCCAGGTATTTAATCACTTGGGATCTGTCTTTGTTAATTTGCATTGTGGGACATTGCACGTATAAAAATATATTGCAATTTGCACACAGTAATAAACTGGTTTGAATGATTATACTTTTAATGAGTGTCTAAAACAGTTGTGTTGTAATGTTTGAATTTATGCAGCTACTGGGAGCATTTAAGTGGTTATTTATGGCTCAGTTATTAAGCCAGTAATTTGCAGCTAAAGCAGTGATAAAATCACCTAATTTGGATTGTTCACAGTGTGCTGCATAATGCACAAGCAACATTTTGGCTGAATTATACCATTTTTTCCCCCCTTTGCATAGAGTAATGCCGTTTTCCCCTGCAGTAGATCACATTGAAGTAGTTTATGTTGTGAATTTCGCTAAACTCGTCACACTGCGAAATCCTGCTACGACACTAAGTTGACACTGATGATCAGCACTTCCTTTTGTGTGGGAGAAGGCAGTATTACAGGTGTGACTCACACACTAGACTACTTAAAGACACTGTGATGTATGTGCACCGTGTTCATTAGGTACTGTCGCATTCCCCCGGGATTATTCCAGAAAAACACCAGAGAGCGCCTAAATTCACACAGAGAACATCATGTGCCTCTTCCAATTAGTTCTGACTTTTGCGACTTTTTTTTTTTTTTTTTTTGTCTCGACGCACTTGGTGATTGAACATCTCAAAGAGCAGCTGCGACGCTCGTCTTGTGTTCCCCATCGCTGTTATGTGAGAAGGTTATTGATTAGCTAAAATGTGTACGAACCGAGAAATATCACTGATGATAGGTGACTGTGAACTCACTCGCTCGCAAAATGTCATAAAGTATTATGTTTTGCAAATGACTGTGATAATTGGTCTGTTTCCAGTCTCTGTTTTTCTTGTGGTTTCCATCCTCGTTCTAACAGTCCCTTGTTGCCATATGAATGGAAGTCTTTCGGACAACTTTAAGCATTCTCTGCACGTTTTATCAAAGCGGGCCTGGTAGAAGTGAAACAGGAGCTGATTTTGGGCATCTCAGATAAAAGCAAATTCCTTGATTTACTGCCACGGATACTGTAATTCTGTGATCCACACCCACTGCATTAGTGCAGATTCTCAGGCATTTAAGCCATGTATTGTAGCATATGGCAGGTTTTGATCTGCCTCCCCTGCAGCAGAAGAAAACACATTCATATTCAGGACCATTCTTCTGTGTTTAGCCAAAAGTATCATGAACATGTCATTTCTTTTTGTGTAACACCAAAAGCATTCAAAAATGCCTTTCTCCACCTCTCCAAAAGCACAGAGAGGATCACTGTGCTTACATTTTATGCAACGATGTGCCGAGACCGGAGTGTTTAATCATCCCTCATCTGACCCAATGTCATTGTCATTTTTCGACTGCCAAAATAAATTGTCTGCATTTGTTCTCAAAAGTAAAACTGATGTCTGATACACTGCAACTGTTTGAGAATATTTCTTTCATTATTCCTAATGATAATAAATCAGTGTCTGTCACGCCACCAGAATGTGGATGAAGTGAACGTGCTGTCTGACTTCTGATTCTGTCTTTTTTTTACACATTTAAGGAAACTTACGGGGCTTCGGCATCCCCCAGAATATATTGTGATGATACTCTGTCAGCATGTTCTTGAAGCAAAACCTGTTCATTTCACATCTCCACCTGTTGTCAAATATGTACAAAGTTGTTTTTAGCCAATAAGATGAGATTTCTTCTTCTAACTTTATCATTCCCAAAGATTTTTATTATTATTTTTTAATTATTATGTTACAATCACATTTTTTATTGTTTAATTTTGTTATTTTCATTCGAACATTGTATTTTTTTAAGCTAAGTTGGGTCCTAAATGTAAAATGAGTTAGTTTTAGTTAGTTTATTAGCTGCAGCAAAGCCACAGCTATTCTTCTTGGGGTCCAACAGAATTATATATACAAGAAATCAGAAAATATTGTAAAAACAAAGCAAAACAAAAGCCAAGTGAGCTTTTACATTTCCTCACATTTTCATGAGAAACTGTCACATAACCTTGTGCATTATTATTTCATTATTATATCATATTTCCTGTATATATACATGCATATATTTCAACCATACAGACTATATGTAGCTCAGTTGTTGTCGTGAAACAACGCTCTTTCCATTTATATTTTTAAAAATACAATTCTCCAGCATAATCTGTGTCACAATAGTGCACCGGTTTAATTTTCGTTTTCTTTTGTGCAATTGAAGCAATGCTTTTCACACAAAAAATGCAATGAATAATGAATAAAACCATGCTTACAGTGAATAGGTGGGCTAGTATTGCTGTAAAAAAAAAAACAAAGGGAAACATTACATGATAGGAAAAAAAACAAAAACCTTGCTTATAAAAGCAGCTCTAAACCCCATTCAAACACCATTATTTGTGTCTCTTGTGAACTGTGTGTTGTCGGATGCTGAACCGCACTTCAATCAGGAAAAGCCCCCGAAATCTTTCAGGCGACAAAAGGAAGGAATCTACTTCACACTGAACACTTGAGAACATACAGTAAAAAATTTCAGCTTGCATTCGGTGACTGGGGGAGCTGTGAAATGTTGTTACCGGACTATAGAGAGCAATCACCTCAGCGATTCCCACAACATGATGTAAGGGGGATGAAAGACAGCTCATCAGACCATAATACTTCAATTTCCATTTCCTAGGCATCCGCACTTTGTGCTACTTACACCAGATTATGTGTCTTTGTGCGCTGGCATCGATACAAGCACTTTCTTAATAGCAGCTGCACCATGAAAAGCAGTTGGGGAAGATCACAATGTGGCTTTTGTTGCGGCTGTTTCACAAAGGTGCTGATTCAATTCTGTGGTAATTTTTGAGGCTGCGTTTTCTGGGTGTTCAAAAGTGATTTTTTTTTTTTCCTTCATCTCTGATATTTCTGCTTCTGCTTGGCTCACACCCTGCACATATATTCATATCCTGGGTTGGGCAGCTCACTTGGTTTGGGTGCATGACTTGTGCATGACATAATACAATCACCACTCCAATTAGTTAAAATAGTGGACGGAGTAGCAGAAAAACCTCACAAAATAATGCAGCACTTACTTGAGTGTAGTAAACAGTCTTTCTAAAATGTACTGTAGACCTTTTTGAAGTGTTTTTTTTTTCCTTTTTGCACAGAATCTTGAGTGTACACCCTCTAGATATGACCGCCATGAAATATGCAGGACACAGTACGCTATGCTGTCCATGAGAAAATTTCACAAGTGACCCTGAAGTGTGCATTCTGTGCCGTAACAGTTTGTCTTCTTGCATTTCTTATTGCCTCACAAGAATATAAATGCCTGAAAGGGAAGATCCCAGAGAATTCAATAATGTCATAGTCAGAATTGGGGGTATGACATGCACAAAGAGGATGTTTTCAGAGTTTGACCCGTGAGACTGCACCAGTTAGGAAGGGTTTTCACTGTGCACACTGCTGCTGCTGCTCTAACACAGAATGATATTCTGTTCTGTTAAATAAAAAAAATAGCTGTACAGATAAAGACAAGAAAAGCACTCTGTTGTCTTGTGCAATGAGAATGAAGTTGAATTCAATTTAATTATTTACATTAAAACTGTAACGTTAAATGCATCAGCTGGTAAAATGTTTGGCATGTTCTCAGCTTTGCACAGTCAGAAAAACAACTAATAAATAATTTTGGCTGCTAACGATCCGCAAAGCACTCACATTTAAAGTCTAGAATAAAGATATGCATAGCTCTCTACGTTACTCCCCTTCCTATGCATGATAATTGGATTCAAACAGCAGGGGAAGCAGTTTCTTAAAAACCTGCTAAAAACAGCATCTTCTGCCCTCAGAGAATTCTTTAAGTCTATCCTGTCAAACATCAATCTGTCAGGTAGCAAGTCAGGAATAAACTCACCTGAACCCACAATGAGTCAGCGCTCTGATACACCATTATGAGCTATAAAGCAGAATCTTTTTTTTTTTTTCTCCCCCTAATAATGAATCTGTTCATTTAAGCACAGCATATGGATGGTAAAGTTCACCTTACAACACAAGACCTTTTGTGCAGCCAAGATCACCGTTGTTGTTGTTGTTGTCATCGTTTTTGAGGAGAGGTAGCCTGTGGTTTTCAGGAACAATCAGCTCCTGCAGGTTTGAACACCTGTGGCACACAGTATGGGACCTGATCCCATTTAGACCAGTTAGTTCTTTTTTTTTTTCTTAGATAGTAAGACAGTGTCCTCTGTAACCTGAGCCTCCTTTAGTCTGGTCAACGGCTTCATCGCTTGTTGTTTTGTTTAGAAGGCACAAAGCATCGAGCTGTAGTCACCTTCTGAATTCTATGTTCGGAACATGCAAGTGTAGTGCAACACACCGGCTAAATTAATAGGTAATTGCTTCAGCATTTTTCGAAGCAAAGATCACAATAGCTTTGGAACGGCTCCACGCTTGTCCATGTTTTATGCAGTTACACTAATGTGTGCCAAGAATCCGATTTTCTAAGAGAGAAAAAAAAAGAAGAAGAAAAAAGAAAAAGAAAGTGATATACTTGGTTTTTCTGAAAATCCCAGAGGATCATTTAACAACACATAGCAATGTTCTGACGGTATTAATAGAACCCTCAGAGACTCTTCTGACCCTTCTGGATGAAACATGTTGCACGCATTGTAAGATTTTTTTTTTTTCTTTAAAAAGGGTTTTGACTGTATTTTCTGTCCAGAGAGCCAGAAATTACATAATGCTTCTATTGTGAGGCACAAGAAAATAAAAACTAAACAGAATAGTGTAACAATACTGAGCATGGAGATGTGTAATTTGAGCCATTTTTGTTAGGGATAGTAAA